GGGGGAGACCCTCCATGAACACAGAGGCTAGATCCAGGCAAGCTGGGGCCTGAGGTCCGCCCCTCCCCCGCTCTACAGGTTCTTCTCCTCAGCTCTGAGAAGCACCTTCCCCCACACTTCCGCCTAGATTAAGCAACAGGGACGGCAGACTGAATGGCTGCTCCGGTCGCCAGGCTTCAGCCATTAGCCACTGAACTCCATTTTACCTGGAGTCAAATTCAGTTGAACCCAGACCTCGGAATGGAGAAGTGGACACGTTTAACTCGGTGCACCACTGGCTTCCTAGGTTGGTTTCAGTGACACTGCTGCCGCTACCAGGTGTGGCGAATCAGCATGCGGGGCCATCCCGTCCATAGGCGGTTTGGAACGGCCGCACCCCCATCCAATGGACGGGGCGGTGCCCAATATCGAGATTAGCCCGCGGCACCCAGGGCAGCCTCAGCACTGCAGGACTCAGGGGAGCGGCACGGCACGGCACAGCGCCGGGTAGCACCACGGTGAAGCGGCACAACCCGGGGGGGGGGAGATGGACAGTGGAGCAGAGCTGGCTGCTGGGTTGTCCTGCTTTCTGCAGCTCCTCCTGCACACAGCGGTATGACCCCTGCTGCCGTCCGGTGCTAATCCCTTGGGTTGCATCTCTCAGGGGAGGGGGCGGGGTCTGGGGCAGCCCTGTCCATATGAATCACTTAGAACTTGTCCACACTGCCCCCACCTTGCATGAAAGAAGCCACCAGGATTTCTGTCACAAGCACAAGGTTACACCAGACACCTGCCAGACACGTTGATCATTGCGCCGGTGCTCACCCGGCAGGTGCAGCCCACCACTGGCTCACTGGAGCTGTCCCACCTAAGGGCTTGTCTACCCTGACAGCTCTGCAGCTGTAGCACTTAGGTCAGGTCTGCACTTACAAGCTGACGGCAGCACAGCTGTTTCAGTACAGCTGTGCCGTTGTATGAGTCTTATGTAGCCACATTGGGTTCTCCTGTTGACATAAACCCCCTCAATGAGCGGCACTAGCTACGTCGGCGGGACAGCAGCTCTCCTGTGCACATGAGCGCGGACACCGGCAAAACTTTTGTCACTTGGAGGCTGGTTTTCCCACAACCCTGAGCAACAAAAGCCTTGATGATGTGCTAGTGTGGCCATGGCTTTGGTGAAGATGTTACCTACACAGAAAGGAGAGCTCCTCCCATGAGTGTAGGTACACCCCTCCCTGCGAGACAGTCACTAGGTCAACAGGAGAAGCCCTCCATCAATACGGCACTGTCTACTCTGGGGTTAGGTCAGTATCACAGTGTCTCTTGGGGGTGTGGACCTGAGTGACGCTGTTAAACCAACCTAAGTCTGTAGCATAGACCTGGCCTACCAGATGCTGCCCTTGGCCAAAAGTGCAAAGCTCTTCATAAGAAGGGCTACTGCCAAGGACTGGGAGTCAGTCCTCCCTCGTCCGTGTGGGATGCACCTGCTCCTACATGCTATATTACCCTTCAGGAGACAGTACTTACAACATAGCCCCAGGGTTATGCAGAATGGATCCTCCAGCAGGTCTGAAGTTCTACACGAAGGATGCAAGAGAGAAATTAAGTCACTTGAATTCAGATATAAAAGGGGGGGAAAGGACCAAATGATTTGTCAGGCTATACTGACAAAGTGGAAGCTAAGCCTCGTGTTTACTGCTATATACAGTGAGCCAGTGGTTTGATATCAAGAAACATGGGCTGGTGCATGCATATGAGAGAGCGCAATGGCCAAAAGGCAGGGCCAGAGAATCTGTACATTTAGTTCCACCCTGCCCCTTAAGAGGACACAAAGCTTCTGGAGCCCAGTTTGGCCCAGTTTAAATTTTCCTAAACCAGCTCACACTGAAGATCCAGAGAAAGAGTCCCAGAAATATTTTTTTATTTTTCAGAAACAAAATCCATCACCATGCAGGTTTTGCATCCCAAACCATGGCACTGCTGAGAGCCAGAGAGTGAAACTCACTAGGAACGGGCAGTAACCAAATGAAATGGGTTAGCCTTATTTTCACTGTCCAAGCTGACAAATGCAAGAAGTGGCCAAGTGAAAACAAAATGAACGCCTGAAAATTCCTTTAGTTTAAATAATCAAAAATGTATTTGCAACACAGAGAAGGATTTTTATTTTAAAAAAAATATTAACTTGACTGTGTCTCTAAGGCGATAAAGGAATCGACCCAAATATATATATATTGAAAATCAAATATCATGTGGGTAAATTTAGTAATGACTCCCTCTAGGCTTCACTCAAATAGCTCCAGCTCTGCTAAATCATCCTACCCGAAGGTAGGTTTATGCTTCCAAAAGGACCTGGTGTTCTGGCAGTATCCTGACCTAAATCCAGGTACTCAACGCTAAACACGCTCATCCCCTGCTCTGGAGATATCACCACATCACGTGATGAGGTGTTAGCATCCTCCAGGGAACTAAGCTCTCCGATTTCCAGCCCACTTCACCCGACTGGGAAAGGTGAAGAAAGGAGACTACCTTGGTGGAATTGGGCTGCAGTGCGTGGAGCTGGTAGACGGTCAAACACAACTTATTCAGGTTGACGTAGAAATTCACAAGGATGTCGGAGGGCAGAGCAGGGGTGAACATTTTCTGTGGGGAAATGCAAAAGATCTCTGTGTGAGTGATATGCCCTGGGTTTCTAAGCCAGGGGGGATCTTGTGGACTCTCTTCTAGAATATAAATGAGAGGCAGAGCGACATTAACAACTTTAGGCAATGGAGAAAAGCAACGTTTTGCAGAGGGCCTGGAACAGGGACGTGGCCATACATGACGGCTACCTCTCTTCTTGCAACACTAGGTGAGTATGTGAGGAGACAGGGGTTAGGCTCCACAGTTTCTCTCTCCTTGGAGTCCATGAGGCTTGCTCTGGAGAAGCCCAATTTACAAGGCCAAGAGCTTCGGGGCCGCTGCTCCCCTCAACAAAGACAGACCCACCACCAATGCTGAGCACAGGATGCACATCTGCTTGCATGTCATGGAAGTTATACAAGAATCAGAAGGGGATTCTCTTTCATGGTGTACAACCAGGGTAAATCAGAATCCAACTGGGAGGGCCCTCACTCGTGAATGAGGAGAGGCAGGGGCAGTACAGGCCAAGATTGATATACGGTTACCGTAAGGCCGCTGGAGGCAATTTCCGGCAGCGTCAAGGTGGCCGGAGTAGTGAGCCGGTTGCGAGCGCGTGTCAGCTGTAACATCACCGCATCCATCAGCTAGGAAAGAACACACAGATTCCCGCTTGTAGGCCCTGATGCAGCTTTGGAGGGTGAGCAGACGAGCCAGGGTAACACGCATGAGTGGTTACAGGGAAAACTGCATCAAGGAGTTGGACTGATTTAAGCTAGGGAGCCAACTCTACATGCATGCATGTACCTCCCCCGGCGAGGCTCAAACAAAGCGAGCAGCTCTCACTCAAGCACCCAGAAAACAAAGCCTGCTTTGGCCCAAGCCTGGGCAGAATCCCACTATTTGGCCACGTTATCCACAGGGAGGCGTGTTCTGTCAACTGCATCTCCCTGCTGATGTTCCCAGCAACGCCACATCAGCCTCACTGGCATCACTCCAAGGCTCTGTCAACGACTCACTGTCCCCAGGAGACGTTTCCGGTCCAGGAAGCGCTGACGTTTCATGTAAGAGTATCTGCTTTTTGACAGGATCTGCCATTGCAAGAGCTTGGAGTTCTGGGATATTCTGCTGCTCTGAATCCTAACAAAGGAGCTTGGTTTAAAGAGAATCATTCATGCCACAGGCCTCTCTCTGCATCCTTATGAGACCAAGCATTACAGTTTGCTCTGCAAACCCTTCTGAACAACAGAGGGTTGTTGCATCTGTGTCACCTTCCTCCCTGGTTCTCTCCTCCCACAACCTACGTGATCCCATTGTGAAACCTCCACGCTAAATCTGCACTCTCCTTCACAACAGGGTTAGAAACAACATGAACCTGCTCAAGCTGGGCAGGGAGAGAGACTGTATCTCTAAGAGAAGAGGAGCGGGAATTCAGGGACCTGACTGGGAAAGAAAATGGCTGTCGTGGAGCGTAGACCGGCTGGGGAAGCTGTACCACTGTCACGCAGCCTTCCGGAGAAAGGACAAGAGTGCTTTCAGAAGCGTCAGCCTGTGTGCCCTGCCACCCCATTTTATCCCCCTTCCAGCTAAGCCCCCTCCAACTCCTGGTAAATAAAATGCCTGCTGTGCCTTGCGTAAGAAACAGCAGAGAACACAGTGTAAAGATTTTCCGTGCTGACAGTCACAGAGGGATCTAAAGACAGTGAAAAATCGTTGGAAGCTTATATCTTAAAGAGAAAAATGCTGCTTATTTGCTCTGATGGGCACAAGCCAGCATTCTGGGAGAGCTGTGTTTGTCTTCTACGGAGCTCAGAATTACTAGACTATTAAGGCACTCTGAACTATGGGTCATCTCTTCCCCTCACCCCAGAGGGAGGAAAAGCTGTGGTGGTCTTATTTGCTGATCTTTTCCTGTTTGCCCAAGAAAAAAACGCAACAGGGTGTTCTCGCTCACATTGGACTGGTGAGAAGTTACAGCCAGCTTCGCCAGTGGCTCAGACACTAGCCTAGGTCCTGGGTTCAAATCCCTGTTCTACCAAAGACTCCTTGTGTGACCAGTCTCTACCGAGCTTTCAGCTCAGTACAAAACCACCCCGAGACAGCACAGCTGCATGGAAAAGAGGGGAGACACGTGGAACTGAGAGTCTGCCACCCCCCAGCGACCATTCTGCTCACCTTCAGGACCTCTGAGCCCGTTCTGAACTGGTAGTTTACATCTCGGTTCGTGAGCAGGTAAATTGCCTGGTTAACGTGGTTTCTAGCATCCTGGATCTGCAAAGGTACAAATGCCGCTTGGTCAAACCAGCCCCCTTTGAAGTAATGCTACAAAGTAGACTATCCCTGTTGTCTCCTTGGATCGCTCCCTTACCACTGCACAGACACCTGAGGAAATGTGGACAGTCCCATACTACTGAAGGCATTTGCTCCTGGGTACTCAGCACTCGCCATGAAAGCAAGCTGGTACCTCTGCCTGCCAGACCATAACATTACTGGTCTACCAGACAGGGCATTTTAAGAAACAACTGGTTGAAATCTGGGCCGGCCACTTTACATCCTGGACCAAACCATCACTGCTGTTGTGGGGAAGCCGTGACGGCTGGCAGGCAGAACTTGTGTGCAGCCTGGCCAGAAACCCAAGTGGCACACTGCTATCTAGCGAGGCACTCCCCTTGTCCAGGACACAGAGCATTCAGAGTGCATTCTGGTTACTCTGCTCATCTCCAGCTGAGTGCAGTGGCTGCTCTGAAGAACCACTGCCTTAGAGCACAAACCAATATGCCACTGGAATACTTTGAGAGAGCAGGAAGCACTGGATTCCTAACTTTAAGGCTCATATTTAACAGGTTCACTGGAATAGAGGGTTATCAACAGCCTAGAGGAGCAGCGGTAACACTGGGACGCAGGGCACACCGCTGGGACCTTCCTGTTGAGCAACCTTTGACAGAACAAACGTGGGTGGCGGGTGAAGGCCCAGCTAGGGAAAGCAAGCCCCAGCCCCGCTCCTTCTGCCCAGGACCCCGCCCCTTCCCCAACCTCCCCATCCAGGAGCCAAGCCCCGCCCAACCCTAGGCCTGTAGCCCAATTCTTCCTGTCCAGCCGCAGGGCTCCCAGTCCCAGCGCTCCCAGGCAGTCGAGGAGCATAAGCAGTTTTGGGAAGGCAATGCCTTCCCTTGCCCATGTTACCAGCTGCCAAGGAGCACAGACCTGAGGCACATCTAGCGTGAGCCCCTGTGAGCCAAGCATATGATCAGTTAACAGAGCAACCCTGCCTGAACGACCCCATAACGAGTGAGGAAAAGCAACCAAAGTAAGGGTTTGCTGGCATGGGGAATAGAGCAGAGGAGCAACTCCGAGCGGGGAGGGGAGGCCCACTAGGCCCCTCAGCACCAGAGACTGGTGTGGGAGCTGGGACAGGTGGCGAGGAAGGCCTTAATAAGGGGGCCGGCACAAGCCACCAGGAGAGGCAGTCGGTGTGAGCAGAAAAGCACCTTCTGAGCGCAGAGCAGGACCCGTGTCGGGAACATTGTCAGACACATTCTAGGTATCAGTTGCAAATGCAAGAGTGAAACAGGCTTTGGACTTTGTTCATGTCTGAAGCTTCCTTTCTCCCCCAAAATCCTGGCCCAGCCCTCCCGAGTGCTTCCCTAGTGCAGGCCCTGGGCGATTCACAAGAAAAGCCCTTGTATGACTAGCACTTGCTCCCCCGGCGCCCAAGTCCTGTGACTCCGAGGAGGGCATCCATGATGGAGGAAAACGTTCTGTGCAAAACCGTTATGCTGCACAGCACACAGCAGGCAGCTCCAAGACTGCGGGCACTCGGACATGGCATCCCGGGACTCTGCCCTCCAGATCCCACTGCCAGGGACAGGAGACGTGAGAGCAGCTTATGCCACTAGGCTTGGCAGTGACACGCCCCATCACCTTTGTCAATGCAAGGGCTCCACGCATCCCTGCCTCTTCTCCCAGCCTGCTTCCCTTCTCTGTTCCACTTTCCCACCAGCTTCCCAGCCCTTTCCCTGCCCTTCCCGTTCCCCAACAGCTTCTGCCCCGGATCCCTTCCATACAGACTCACAGCCCTTCCTACGTTGGCAGGGCCCACTCCCTCATGGAAGAGGTGGATGCTATTTCACTATGGGAGGCTCGTTCTGATGGAAACAGGCCAACATCCTCCCTATAATCTCGTTAAATACTATGATTTTGCCTCCTTTAGGCTTTCACATTCCTTCTCTAAACAACATTAAGAGATCAAGTCCTTTCCAAAGGAAATAAAGCAGGCGCTGTGCTTAAGAGACGGTGGAAGAATATCAACAGAGCAGCAATACAAGAGAGTCACTATATATAGGCAGCCCTACTGAGTGCATCACAAAGTTCCCTTGTTTGCAAAGCACAAAACAACTCAACACAGCCATTAGCTCCAGCGATCCAAAGCCCAGCTCAACTAGGGCTTGAGTCACCTACCTAAACGTGGCAATTAGCGAGCGTGTTTGAAGTGCCAGTAAATTAGAGCGCTCAGTCTACAGCAGATTGACATGGTCAACAAAGCACCAAAGTCCAAATATGCTTATAAAAAATCTAAGAAAAATGTACAAGGACCTAGTTAACAGAGAACCCCCGAGTCGGTTTTTAAACTTCAGAGCAATGGTGGAGACTGGGCACTGGAGTTTCACAAGCCAGAACTATTCCAGCAATGGAAATGCCAAGCAATACCAGCCTAAAGGAGAGATTCAGAGTTCTTCTCATTTGGGCTGAGTGGTTTTATTTCAACAGTGATAGCTAGAGCATGAGGTACTGGCATATGCAGCTAATGAGGAGAAAGGAGAAGAATGATTTCCTACAGGGAACGAGAGCAAATCGGTGAGCTAAGTTCCCTGTAAGCTGCGCGCCCATGTAGCTGCAGAGCTGTTTTCCGAGTCCTGCTGAGAGGTTCAAAGCTCCTGCGCAGGCAGGGAGCTCAGCTGACCAGCAGGGTGTGTCTAAGCAGCAGCTAAACGGAGCTAGCTGCGTGCTTGGACGGAGGAGCTCCCAGAGCACGGAAGCATGAGATAAAGAGAGAATAAGTGGCTGGTAGTGAGTAATAAATTGGCTTGGGGTGGGAAGTGTGAAGGGAGGGGAGTTTGGAGAGTCCCATGTGCAAGGAGAGAGAGAGAGAGGCAGAAACCCAGTCGTCTCCTCAACCCTCCTGGGCTGGGAAAGGAGGTAAGAGGCTGACTGCATGGGGTAGGTGGGGGAAAGAAGGGGTGGGTCCTGGAACTGGGGTGAGATGGGGGGAAGAGGAGTGAGTTTGGGCCGTGTTCTGGCTGGACTCAATGATCTCTCGAGGTCCCTTCCAGTCCTATGATTCTATGATTAATTGGCTTGGGGGAAAATCCCATCTGCGGAGGAGAGAGAGGCAGAGACCCAGCAGGGGTGAGGTAAAGGGGCTGACTGCATGGGGTAGGTGGAGGAAAGAGGGAGTGCTGGCATCCGTGCAGTGAGGTGGGAGTCAGAGGGCAGTTTGGGGCATCTGACTCACTGACTCAGTTAGGCTGGTTTGGAGGAGCGGGGGAAGCTGGGGGGAGGGAGAGGGGGTGAGCCAGGACATCTGCATGATTACATTTCACATGTGTTAATAGCTTAAGGTAAGGAAGAAAAAGATTCTTTTAACAGAAGTTTTTTGGAGTGTTGCTGAGATCTAAAACTCTGAGTTTAATGATTTTTTAAAAATCCTGTGTTACTAATTAATACATGGCATTAAAGCTAGATCTTTGCTATGTGATACAGTTCTGGTTCTTAGGCATCAGAAGTAGCAAACACTAGTGTGATGCTAGTTGTTTTGTAGGATGAAACCTTATTTGCATGCTCTTTGAAACATGCATCTGTCTACAAACCCTGAAGTCTGTGTTAATTTGTTCTGGGGCTTCTGAGTTGGTGACACACAAAAGGTGAAAGTTTCAAACCAGGAGAACTTTTCTCTGTTTTTACAGCATAGGTCCTAAACATTCCCCAGAAAAACTGTATAAGCCTTAGTGAATGCCATTTACTCTCCTTTCCAATATCAGTAAATATTGTATTAGTCATGCTCTTCTTGCAAATACCATTTCTAGCCAACTCATAGATTTGTTTAGCATCTTAAAGCTGAGCTATGAGTGGATTATATGTATTTTGGTGTGTTTAATAGCTTGAGTTGTTAAAAAGGATGTAGATACATGTACTCCAAGGGTAGTGGTTTTTTTTTTTTAATTAATTTCATATTAAATATCATAAGCATCACAACTTGTTAAATATCCCTTGTTTTAATAGATTTTCTTCCACATATATGGACTGATAAAATTATATGTATAAAAAATGTTTTCTGTTTGTATTGGTGGTGCACATCCACACATTACCTCAATCCTGATATATATAAAACATGTTTTCTGTTTGTATTGGTGGTGAACATCCACACATTACCTCAATCCTGATATTGCACATAAGAAATTCAAGCCGCCCAAGGACAGAAGGGAACTCAGAGCCAGCTCAGTCCCAGGTGAACTATTCTCTGTTCAGCCCGTCAGGAGTCAGCAGGCATTCGGAAAGACAACGAGAGCCTTGGTGATCTGAACATCCAACCCAGAGAGAGAGCTTTTGGCTCACTGATGTCCCAGGAGCAAGTAGCACCCACCCCTTTTTCTTCTAAAGCCCCAGTGCCAACCAATTCACACCTCTGCCCCCCCATGACTCCCCAACCCACACAGGAAGGTGGATCCTGGGGTCTGGAGAACCCCAACAAAGATCAGCCCTTACTTTCCTCTTAGAGGAGGCAGGGCTATGCAGGCTGCAGGGAGGGCACATGCTCAACACAGGGGGCAGACTCGTGATAACCATACCTGCTGCAATTTCCACTGCTTGTCTTCGCGGAACGTGAAGTGCAGGAGCTGATTGGTTCTGGGCATTTTCAAATTAATGTCCTTTAGGAGAGAGAGGGGCAGAGATGAGAGGAGCTCCACCACAAAACTCACAGCAGGCACCCTCGGAGCAGAAAGTGCTGCTCATACCCCCCTCAACACTGATGAGTGGGGATATTTTGAGCAGTCCTGGCTGAGCCCCACAAAACTCACAGCAGGTACCCTCGGAGCAGAAAGTGCTGCTAATAACCCCCTCGACACTGATGAGTTGGGATATTTTGAGCAGTCCTGGCTGAGCCAGTTTTTTGCCTCACTCTTATTCGACAGGAGGCAGACACAAGCTGTAAACGACAGGCCTTTACTGGACGGGGCCCAGAGACGAGCCTCCCGGTTCATTTCAGGACTTGTGGAGGAAAGTCTGGTGGTAGAGGTAAAGGGAAACTTAAGCAAGGAGCCCATCAGCTAAGAAGAGTCTGTCATGGCCCTCTGTCTAGCTACCATCCGTTTATTATGCTGCAAACATGATATTTCATGTGGGCATCATAAGTACGGCATTGCCGCAGGTGAGCAATTTTGCAAGGCTGAGTTAACCAGATCTAAGAGTATACACTGCTCAGATTCAGACTGGACTGCAGCAAACCAAAGTGCCGCCTCCTTGCTGGGGGAGAACATATCCCAGCAAGACAGCACGCACTATAAGAACAAAAATCCTCCTCCTCCTCAACCCTGCACACTGGTTTCCCCAGATTCAGATTTCAACCCCTGGCATCATGTGTCCCAGCAGCAAGTCAGCTACGCAAGAACTGCTCTGAGCCACACACTGGGATGCATCTTCAGTCAGTTGCCCAGTTGTGTTCAGCTGTCACCAGCGCCTCTGGCAAGATGCAGTCACTGTGGTACCAAGGCACCATCACAGAAAGCAACCAACCAAGCACCTGCAGAGAGGGCAGCTCAAGCTGACTGGGGCTGGACACACCTCATCGCTTGACGACATGTGGAGGAACAAGGTCTGGCAGGGGAAGAAAGGCAAGGAATACACCCCACCCCGATCCACCACTCGCTCAGCCCCTGTGCTAGCATGAAATGCAGGTGTGGATTGGTACTTACAGCCTGGCACAGGGCATCTCCCTGCAGCATCAGCACTCCTTTCACTTGGTCCGCGCTGGAATGACAAACCAGGCCAGACAGTGAGGCAGGCTACTAAGACAGGTACAGAAGCAGCCAACCCCACCCCCAGCTAGAAAGGGAGACCAGCCTCTACCCTTTCCACCCAAAAATACAACACAGCAGAGGGCAACAAGGGCTTTCCCCACTCTCAGATGGGCACATAGGAGCTCTCCAAGGCTGGTCCTCATGTGTCCTGTGGACAGCTCAGCTGGGGAGATGCATTTTTATCACCTATTCTTAGATCACATCTCCCACCTGCAACTATCATACTGCTTGAGAGCTGCTCTCTTGTGCGAGTGACCTGCTTAAAGCTACAAGGCCCTATCCTCAACTAGTTTCCTCCCTGTATTAACAATCCACACTGTTCACCGTAGAAACATTAAACACTTCTGCTTAAACATCTGAAGTTTTGCACTAATGGCCCAGAAACAAAAAACAAACTAGATTATAATCTGACATTGTGTCTGCTTGTGCCATAGTGGAAGCTGAAGAGGAGCGGGTAATCGGTCACCTTCTTCAAAGGTCCCACCATCTCACCAATCTTGCTATGTTTATATGAAACAATGATGGGAGACTAACGTCTCTGGGCTTTAGGGACTCCACTTTATGATCCCAGCTCATTTAAAGTGACACCAAGAGTTCAATGAAACCCCAGCATCTGACAGAGACCTGTCTCTGGAGAGACAAACCTGCTCAGTAGATGGACATGTTAGTTCACAGAAGCAAGCAAGCATCTGGAGGAATGGACAGAGGCAATCTCTGCACACACTATAAATACCCACAGATTTTCCTCTTGAAATACCAGAATCTGTTACTCCACAACTGCTCAGAGAACTTTCTTGGAAGCATGTTTCATGGTCTACTGTGCAACTCCACAGAAGCAGAGCTGGACTGGAAGCTCAGAAACTGTGACTATTTCAGATGCAGTTTAATACTAACTGCACTTGTATAGCACCTCTCATCCAGATCTCTCACTGCTTCGTGAGGTGAGTAGATGTTATTCCTACATTACATTTAGGGACACCAAGACACAGAGGTTAAAAGGAACCTGCCAGACAGAGGTCACAAACAGCAAGACAGCAGTTAAGCCAAGCACAGACATCAGGTTCCTGACTCCAGGTCCCCAGCTGTAAGCACTAGTCCGAGACTCCTCTTTATTCACACTTTGAACATGCTGAGAACTGATCCACACCTACCCCTGCAGTGAATCAAAATACAGCCAGGAAAACCACGTGGTGATTCCACTACAGAATCAAACAGACAATTGGTAAAGCATGACGGGATCCATTTCAAAATTACTTCAGTCTGCCGGGAAGCGTCTAGTTTTACTTAAAACATTCCTGTGGTAATTTTGTTCAGTGGAATTCTTATGGAAAGGAATGAACTTTCCGTTCTGTATATACACATTACTAGGGCTTGCCGAACCGCGGCGAGCCCTGCTCGCCAGCTGCGCTGTCCGGCGATCTGCGCAACCGCAGATTGTTCTGCACATGCACAGATCGCCTGAACCCGGCTCTTCCGGGTTACAATCTACTCGCCACAGGCGAGTAGATTGTATTATTTGTCAAGCCCTGCACATTACCAAAGATGCTAATGCATATAAATAAAGCAAACAATGACAGGTATGTGCATTTTTGCAAGCAAACACAATGTTTGATAAAATGGCAGAAAGCCAATAAGATGGGAAAGTCAAGGGTTCACTCTTTAGAAGTTTATAAAACAATGATTAAAAGAGTACTAGATAACTGCTTTTTATACCCAAATAGCAAAATATCAGGTTTTCCCTAGAGCGACAGTCTCCTTTGTTCAAGGACTGGAAATCTGGATCAGTAGAGGCTTAAATAATGAAATTATTTCTGAATATTTCATTGACCCAACCACTCATCTGTGGTACTGTATTACTCCCACAGCTAAGGTGGGAGTTACAGAGCACAGCTACAGCTGTCTGATAGGGGCTCTTCTCTTAACCTTGAACTGCTACTTTTCTAAATGCCACTGTGTTCAGATCTCCATGTTATCTAACCAAGCAGATGAAATGGAGGAGGGAAGGAAGATGTAATATACAAATGATTAAAATAAGCTAGGAGAGCAGCAGGTGAGGAGAGACAAATAATGTCAAATTGTCACCAGCATTGTAGGAAAGGAGGCAAAACTGTGTACCAAGAGAGACCAAATTCTGAACTCTACTAGCCAGGCACCTGGGGCACTAGAAGGTGGACATGCTCAACCATGAAAGTCTTCTAGTGTCTCCAGATATTACATGGAAGATAGAAATAATAGGAGAATCTGTGTAAACAAGAGGTGAACTGCTCAATTCTCCATGTCCTTCCCCCTCCTTTGCTATACAAGGAGAATCCCAAGACCAAATGTGCTCATGGAGGGAACTGGATTACCGTCCAGCATCCTAGAACTCACTCACACCTCATCACTCACATTTGGTGAGCAAAACCCAAGTGTGTCTGCTGGACACGAGTGGATTTAAATAGACGACAGCACAATCTCTAGTAGCAGCAAACCCCTCTGCAAACACTTACTTGGAAGTGCCCAGAATGAAGTTCTCCTGTTTGACTGGTCCTTCTGTGCCACCGACAGGCAAAGCAAACCTGTGAGAAGCCTCCTGCGCAAGAACAAAGGGGAGCCGATACTGACAGGCCAACAGTACTCTGCAATATCCTAGGCAAACCTCATGGGATTAATTCAATACATTTAAACTAAATTAAATTAGGCTTGATACCTTTGGTGTCTATTGTATTCAACTGCAATTGTGTAGGTGGTATTGTGTGTAACTCTTCTTAGAGAAGAGGGCTGCTAGTGTAATTCCTTTTGAAGTCATCCCTATGGAGAGGTGCACACATATACTAGTTCAAACTGGATTCTCCAGGGACCACCAGACCAAGAAAGAAGTTTTGGATTAACAGGATGGTTTTAAACAGGTTCGGGTCCTTCTTCCCAACCAAATAGACACATAGGACCCCTGGGTCCAAGGAAGGCCCCAATTCTCGGGGGAGGACAGGACTGGGCCCCAGAAGATTGTGTGCACATTCTGAGCTGAAGCGGTGACAAACTTGAAACCACAAGAAAACCCCTTGAGTGGGGTTTTAAAGGACTGCTTCTGCCAGAGTCCATGTTAGTGCTGGGGAGGAGTTCATCTCTGGTTAGTTTATTACCATGCAGGCAGGGTTTAATGTCTTTATTGTCTCAGTGCTTTTACCTTACAGACAATCAGGCCTGCTTAGGAGCTGCTGCATGGTCTCTTGTGGCTGTAGCAATTACAGTCTCTGAAGAGACCCAAGCAGGCCTGTTTAGGCAGACTCTCTTTGGGGGGGGAATACAAAGTGAAGACAGGGAACTGTTTGGCCTGGAAATCCCCCGACAATAGAAAGAGAGGCAGGTCTCCAACCGAGAGAGGTAAGTAATGGCTCGGGAGCTGGAAGCCAGAGAGTAGGTGCCCGAGCTGCACCAGAGGGAGGAATACAGGTGCAGTTGCCCTGAAGCAGGACAGACATGAGAAGAGCTAGCAGCCTGTTTCCTACCCTTCCATGAGGCGTTGAACAGTAAGGATTAGACAGCATGGCAGTGCAGATATTAGGAGCTGATTTAACATGAAACAATTGCTTTTGTTAGCCTTAGCTGCACTACTGACAGGAGAGTAAAAGGTGGAGAATGCTTGAAAATCTTTACTATCCATAAGTGTGGTGTATGCAGGTAGGTTCTGTTTGCTCCCTACTAACTGGGAGCACAGAAAGAGCTCTCTTGGAGCAAAAGGAATCAATGTTATGCTAGGTTCCCTATAACCAAGGAGGAGCACACACTGCTACAGGAAATCCTGACCTGCCAACAGCATGGCATCTGCCTGGCCTTCAGATACAAGGTGCACAGAGAAACCACCCCTGCTGTCACTGAAACAACCAGACTAGTTACACAGCACAAAAGCAAGCAGTCTTCATAAACACGGCATGTCTTACTTAGGAAAACATGCTCCTCCTAGCCAGCTGGTGTCTAGTCCCTGCACTCAGATATTGAGGGCCCCCTCCTCCGTATAAAGATGTTAAATTTAGATGAATCAACTAATTGAATAGTTGATGTAATTTGCACCGACTATTTGATCAGTCGATAAGGGCGCCTCTGTCTTTGAAATGTAGCAAGAGCCCTGGCAGCTCTTGCTACATTTCAAAGGCAAAAGTGCCACAGGGAGCAGCCAGCAGGGGACTCCCCCCACCCCAGCTCTTGTACATTTCAAAAGCAGGGTCTATTTGAAAACCATGGGAAGGTGGGAGGCCAGCGGGGCACTGCTTGAGTCCACAGCTCTCACCAGGGGAAACGTAATAAGAACCCTGCTCTTGCTACGTTTCAAAGGCGGAAGTGACGCCAGTTCCCCGCTGCGCCTCTGCCCCTTCTCCCCACGGAGACATGACTGAGTGGGACATGGAGACTGAACTCTCCTCACCAGCTGGATCCGCCAAGTCAGAGCAAAGCCAAACTGGCAGGACAGCAATAGAGACACGTGACCTGCTGCTGCCTGTGCTGTACCTGGTCTGGGGATAAAGCAAAGTCTTTGTTCTCCAGGGCTGTCACCTCTGCACCTTTCATCAGCACTGTGCTCACAAAGTACCAAGTAGAGACCAGAAAAAGCAAATTCCCCAGACATGTCTGGAACCAGCTCGTTACCTTCAGAATATCCTGCAGCTGTCTCAGGACACCATGAACCTCCTCTTGCAAAAGCCATTTAAACTCTTCTTCCTAGAGCCATGGAAAGACAAAACAGGAATTACCTATGAGGGTCTCTGGGGGCTCTCACAGAATGCCTGATCTTAATTTTGTTCAGTGGCACAGCAGCACATACCCCACGGAGAACAAGTTTACTGATACACAAAGGTGGAGCTGTAACAAGAGGACAGGCAGGCAGGTTTTCACTGAATTGTTCAAAGGGGTTATTTTTTCTGCCTCTCCATGCTGCCTATTTCCCCATCCAAAATATCCTGCCTCGACTCCACTGAGCAAATGTTTATTTAGAGCGTTATATGAACAATAAGGGTGGTAGGTGGCCCTGTGCTGCTGGAGGAATCAATTTCAGGTGAAACAAAGCACAGATCCTGCCTCCTTGAAAACTCTGAGGCTCTTCTAGCCTGGTTCTTGTATTTGTCTTCATCCACGTAGTTTACCAAACAGCAGCAGCTTAACTAGGAAAGAACTTGAAATCAAGTCAGCACAGGGGACAAGACTGTTTACACAAAGTCAGTAATAAACAAGCCACATCTGACAGGGCAACACCACAACTGAGTTCAGCCAGTCTGCTATGGAGAAAGGCCGTGAAAACCAGATCCTGATATGAAGCTGCAAACTTAAAGTATATAAACACCCATGGGCAGAAGAACAAAGGCAATGTGTGTGCATGCGTCGGGGGCAGGGTTACTTTCCCCACAGGGAATTAGCGAAGGACAATCCCCATTTTTCAGATGGGAACAGTGGCACAGGGTAAATGGAAGTGTCTTGCCCCAGACACCACAGGCAGTCTGTGGCTGAGAGTCAGGAACTACGCCAGGTTTCTGACTCTCCCAGTCTAGTACAGTGGCCCAACCACTGTACCTGTCCTACCAATGTGACTTTCTCCATGACGATGTACTCAAACAGGAATTCTCTGGAGGAGAGCCAGGACATGTTTGACTTGCTGCAAGCCCCTTCAGTCTAGCAAACTCCCAAACCCGAATCCTCTAAAAGGATCAAACCCCTCATTATTTCCTGCTACAATGTAGCTCAAGGTAAGAGATTCATGTTGGTTGAATCCTCTAAAAGGATCAAACCCCTCTATTTCCTGCTACAACGTAGCTCAAGGTAAGAGATTCATGTTGGTACTTCGTGGTTAGCAGGTATTGTATGAAGTGGAATCTCATCCAGATGTTACGTACTCAATAGGCACATATGGCAGCTTAACAAATGTTATAACCAACATCTTTGTCCTAGCCTTGCCCTCCTTTATTTGATGCCCCCTCACCGCCTCTCTCTCCATCAGCTATAAAAAAACCACATTACTAACCTTTCACAGCTGTTGCATGTTTCCGTTCCACCCCAGGTGTGTGAGAGCCCTGTGCAGTCACCAAATATTTTCCTCTCGTTGGTTCTGTTGGGGAGGTTCAAGGACCCTATGCTGCTGCACACCATTAGTGCCAGTATAAAATGCTCAGCCAACCTGTGCCCCCTCCTCAGTTCCTTCTTTCTGGAAACTCCAATGTAGAGGGGTTGGTAGGTGGGTCGAGCAATGGACACACAACAGCTTGAAGAACGATAGTTACATAAGATTTGTAAGTGTTTGAGTGATTGTACACATGCATTCCACTCTTGGGGACTCCCAAGAAGTTAAATAAGAAGAGGGGTTGACATTCATATACATGCTGACTGCAGCACATCTCAATCAAGTTTGGCATCAGCTCTTGAATCCTGAGAAATAGCGTAACGGGAGGAGGATGTGTGCACTGATGGCTGCTTTACCTTTTGTGCCAAAAATGCTACTGAGAATGCTTGTGATCTTGTGCAAGGAGCAGTCAGATTAGTTGGTAGCAAAACACCTGCCAGATCTTAACAAGTGTGAATACAAGGACAAAACGATCTGTTCAGAGACTGGGAGACCTTTCATCCTGTCTGTTACAGCCACAAACAGCTTGGTGGTCCACCAGAATTGTTTAGTACCCATCTAACATCCATGAGTGAAGACATTCATTCTTATTTGCATGAGGTTTCACATAAAAGACAGGTAGGTAGATTGCCTCACTGGTTTCACAATTTCATAGCACTTTCAGGAGGAAACTGGGGCAAAGATATGAATATACACTACCTCTAAAGACTGAGTACAGAGCTTTGATGTGCAGGCATGGAGTTCAGATGCCCTTTGGGTTTAAGTGATGGCAATTAGGACTACCTTCCAGGAAAAGCCTAATAAGGAGCATATTTATAAAAGCTCAAACAGTGGTCCAAAAACAATGTCTTGGCAAGACCAGGTTCAGGTCTTAAGGTAGAACATGGGCTACCTTGAGAGTACAATCTTGCTAGGCTGTTGAGGGCTGACGTGTCATTTGAAAAAAACAGACTGGCTAACCTCCGGAGGGTGGAAAGTTAATTTGGCTGCCAAGTGAACCTTGATAAAAAACTGCTAAGCTTTGCTGCTTCGGGTGCAATAAATATCTGAAATGTTTTGGATCAGCACATGGGTGAGACTGGAATGCCCAGAATGAGAACTGCTTCCATTTTGAGAGGCAGCAGCCCAGGTGGAGGGCTCTCTACTATATAGTACAGGTGCAGGCAAGACCCACCCACTCCAGAGACATAGAGCAGCATCACTCAAAACAGCTGGCTGCTCTCTGTGGCTCTCTGCGCTGGGAGGGGAAGGCTTCACATGCTGCCCCCAGACCACAGCAAAATCTCTCAGCTTCTATTGGCCAAAAACTGGCCAATGGTTGCCAAGAAATTGTGCTGGCAGCAGAGGCAAATTCCTAGCCAGAGTCTGCCCCTGGCACCCCACCGTCCTCTCAGACCCTGCACCCCCTCCTACACCTCTTCCCCAGGCCAGAATCCTCCCTTATACCCCAACCCCCTCCTGCACCCAAACTCCCTCCCAGATCCCACACCCTCTCCTGCACCCCAGTCCTTACCCTGAGCTCCCTTCTGCAGCCAACCTCCGTCCCAGACCCGTACCTCCCTCCATAGAAAAGTGCAGCCCATAACCACTTACCAAAATCTTGGAGTACCTGCCACCCATCAAAAATTATTGCCCATCCCTGATCAAGTAGGACCTTTCAAACTCTCTCTGAGCTACTCCTTCCTGTTCTAAAACATATGTAGCGCATTGTCTGTGAGACCAGACAAGTTTCTGACATGGGGCAGGAAAGCCTGTCAGATATGGTACGGTATCTGAATTATGTTACCAAGGATTGGATTGATTGGAATAGTACCTCTGGCAGGTAGGCCCCCTGGACCCGGAAGAGTTCACTTGTCTGCACTGATCAGGGCCTCAAACATCAACTGAAACTGCCCAATGTTGGACACTACCTGAGCCCTGGACTGGCCCTTAACTTGTCAGTCACCTACATAATGGAATACCTTGCCCTCCTGTCTCCTCAAGAAAGCTGCCACTAACCATTTTGTGAACACCACAAAAGGGGGCTGCAGACAGTCCAAAAATAGTGTACTGTGACTAAAAGAGTGACTATAAAACTGAGAAACCTTCTGTGTCCACGGTATACTGGTACGGGAAATTAGGCATTTCTTAAATTGAGGGCACAGTACTAGCCTCAGGGATCCAGAAAATGGATGCCAAGATGACCATGGGGAACTATGTTCTTTTTGAGGTAGCTGTTGAGTTGACATATGTCTGAGATCTCCCTTGGCCTTCAGGATTAGGAAATATCAGGAGTAGAAAACCTCTCAAATGCTGCAGATCTTCTTCTACTGCTCCACACTTGAAAGAGACTGAACCTCTTAGGACTGTAATTTCTCTGTGAAAGGGATCCTTGAGGAGGGATAAGGTTAAATAAACTGGAGTACGTACCTTACTTCTACAGTGTTCAACGTCCAATGGTCCATGGTGATACTGGAACAAGCACTGGGGAATTGGGAAAGGTGAACATAAGAATGGCCACACTGGGTCAGACCAATAGTCCATCTAGCCCAGAGTCCTGTCTTCTGACACTGTTCAAAGCCAGATGCTTCAGAGGGAATGAACAGAACAGGTTCTCATCTAGCTATCCATGTCCTATTGCCTATTCTCATCTTGAGGAGCAAGAGGCAGCCAGCACCAGTTGTGCATGTTCTTCTTCCCTTTCTACATCAGCAGGATCCCACTGAACTGTCTCTGAGTTCGGTATCAGAGTCCAGACTGGGTCAGCAAGATGGTGCCCTAAGTCTCTCTGAGACAATGGAATAGAAGTGCCTAGAATATGCCTTGGAAACTGGAGGGAAACTGATTAGGAGCCCTTTTGAAACCTGAATCCAATGACCTCCTGACCAACACCTGGATGGAACTCCTTGTGCTTGGATCTATGGAAGGGTGTTAATACCTGAAAAGGAGCAGCAAGAATAGTTTCAAGGACGGGAAGAGTAAGACCCAATCTCTAATTCAGAAGAGGGTGAGTCTCTCTAACAGTGCCTGCATAGGTTCTGGAGTCAATGGGGTCAGCTTCTATAGTATTGAAGCAGAGGAGTGCTTCAGTTTAGATTGTATTCTACTCTGATCTCCATGCCTGGCAGCCATCAGTGCCAGAAATCACCCCCTTTTGGCAGGCTTTTCTTATGTCTTTTTCTAGGCACTAAGGATGGTGACTGGTGCTGGGACTCCAGTAAGGTAAGTAGAGCTCCTTTCCCATGCTGAGGCACCTGTCCTGGCTCAGGTGGAGTCTCAGTGCTTCCTCCATGAGCAGGATCTTCCACCTGGCTTCCTGATCCTCCTCTATGCAAGTCCTTGCAGATCTAGAAATGGTCCCAATTGTGAACTTTCCCCAGATGCTTCAAGTAGAGTGAGTGCCAGTAGCTCAGGGGCACAGCCATGTTGCAGGAGACACAAGGTTTGAAGTGTGGTGACTGAGGCATCCCTTGGTACTGGAGATTGGACATAAATCCCAGTAAAGATTGTAACTAACTAATTTACTAAACTCCACTAAAACTACATACAATAAACAGAGTTTCCACTGAAAGATCTTACAAATGCAAGGAGAGCAGTTCCAGTAACCGTCAGAGGCAGTAAAAAGGAATTGAGGGGTGCAGGTGCTTTATAGCACCGCAAA